TCCCAAAAATTCAAAATTAAGCTAGAAACTTCTAGTTTTTTGCATTTGGAACTAAATTTTGTGGGAAAGTCGAATTTGTTGCTCACAGGGTTGCGGATTGACGGGCCGGCCCGTCGGCCCGTCAAATTTTTTGAGCGAACATAGGCACCAACAACAACTTTTTGATTGATGGGTTGTACTTGCTCCTGGCGCCGCTCCTCCTCTTGGTTGACACTAGATCTTTGGTCGTCTACAACACGTTATGTGGTTGTAGGAACTGTTGGTGTTGGTCTTGCCGTTGTCAGTTGTTTGCAAAGTAAGATCCACTTCTGTAAGAATACGTTTAACTATAATCAAAAAAAATTCCAAAATTCAAAGGTTTGAAAATTTGAGAAACTTGAAAATTTCTAATTAGAAACGTTTGTTTTAACTTTGGAATTTAAAAAAAAGGAAAAAATTCGAGTACAGAGGTTCCCTAGATTTTTCTCAGTTTTCTTTTTTCGCATTGTTTTTTTTTTTGCAAAAAAAGCCCAATTACTTACTAACAAACCAAGAAAATGATAGCTTCAAATATTAAAAAATTAATTTAGAAAATAGACTTCTAAAACACACGAAGTCATAGAATTTTAGAATTTCAGGTCAATTGTCGGGCGTATCCCTCGGGCCACTTTTGAAAATGTAAAATTTTGATTTCAGAATATTGAGTTAAAACTAGTACATAGAAATTTGGGAAAATTCAGTTTTTTGAAATTTCGAACTAAAATTCTAAAATTCTAAAACTCTAAAATTCTGAAATTCTAAAATTTTGAAATTCTGAAATTCCGAAATTCTGAAATTCTAAAATTCTATGACTTCGTGTGTTTTAGAAGTCTATTTTCTAAATTAATTTTTTAATATTTGAAGCTATCATTTTCTTGGTTTGTTAGTAAGTAATTGGGCTTTTTTTGCAAAAAAAAAAACAATGCGAAAAAAGAAAACTGAGAAAAATCTAGGGAACCTCTGTACTCGAATTTTTTCCTTTTTTTTTAAATTCCAAAGTTAAAACAAACGTTTCTAATTAGAAATTTTCAAGTTTCTCAAATTTTCAAACCTTTGAATTTTGGAATTTTTTTTGATTATAGTTAAACGTATTCTTACAGAAGTGGATCTTACTTTGCAAACAACTGACAACGGCAAGACCAACACCAACAGTTCCTACAACCACATAACGTGTTGTAGACGACCAAAGATCTAGTGTCAACCAAGAGGAGGAGCGGCGCCAGGAGCAAGTACAACCCATCAATCAAAAAGTTGTTGTTGGTGCCTATGTTCGCTCAAAAAATTTGACGGGCCGACGGGCCGGCCCGTCAATCCGCAACCTGTGAGCAACAAATTCGACTTTCCCACAAAATTTAGTTCCAAATGCAAAAAACTAGAAGTTTCTAGCTTAATTTTGAATTTTTGGGATTTTTCGGGGTTACTGTAGCTCCAAAAGTCCGCAAACACCAAATATCAATTTTCGAGTTGAAAATTGGAATCTAGACTAATTTTGGGGTGGGAAACACAAATTTGATAGTGATAACTATCGAAAATCTATTCTTGGGGGATTATTTGGGGTTACTGTAGATATTCTTGATAATTTTCAAATCTGAGCAATGTGTGTCGTGTTTGGGCTCATTTTGAAGAGAAAATTGTGACAAATTCAAAAATTTATAATTTTTATTCATAATAAAAAATTTCAAATTTATTGCTTCTCCTCAAGTTTCGCTCTCTCGCTATAACTGTTCTTTGTCGTCATCTCTCGTAGCACGGAATTCTCCAAGTTTTCCATCGACTGAAAATTCTTAAAATCAAACTTCAGAAAATTTTCATACAAGGCTTTGAGTTCGGGGCGTTTAGAGCTTCAAAATGAGTATAAATATGCCCCTATTCGCTTGAATTTGAATTTTCGAAAAAAAATTACGGTATGCGCCTTTAAAATATTCGAAAATTTCAATTTTGAGCAAAATGGGTCGTGTTTAGGCTCATTTTGAAGCGAATTTTGTGCTGAATTCAAAAAACCTAATTTCAAATAGCTTGGGACAATAACGTTCTAGAAATTTTGAAAAAAAAAATTTTGAAAAAATTTTTTTTTGACAAACATTTTTTTTCAATTTTTTCTGGAAATTTTTTGGAATTTTCCAGATCTTTTTCAGTAGATTTTCTTTCATTGCTCATACCTTTCCATCATTAAGAATTGTCCTCAAATAATTAATATATTCAATCGCCAGTCGAATTGTTTGAATTTTGGATGGACGGCTGTCCAAAAATGGGATTTGTCTGAAAATCTCAACTTTTCGCTGGAAAACTGGAATTTAAATTCAAAATTTGAATTTGGCTTGTAAAGAGCTTTGAAATGAGTACAAACATCACTATATTTTGAAGGGGAAAAGTTTAATTCCAAAAATTTCAAAAAAAAATTTTTCTTCAAAAATTTTTTTTTTCGAAAATTTCTAGAACATTTTGTCCCAAGCTATTTGAAATTAAGTTTTTTGAATTCAGTACAAAATTTACTTTAAAATGAGCCTAAACACCACCCATTTTGCTCAAAATTAAAAATTTCGAAATTTTTAAAGGCGCATACCGTAATTTTTCGAAAAATTCAAATTCAAGCGAATAGGGGCATGTTTATACTCATTTCGAAGCTCTGGACCAATTAAAAACAATGAAAACGTTTAAATTTTAATAAATTTGAAACTACAAAAGTTACAGTAAGAAATGTGGAAAACATTTTTTTTTTGAAATTGTTTGAAAATAAATATTTTCAAGAATCTAAAATATGTCATATTTATACTCATTTTGAAGCTCTAAACCTTCCAAATCAAACTTTTTAACTTAAAAATCGATAAAACTCACTTTTGAAGAGTGAGAAGCGCTTCTTGGAGCCTCCGGCGGCTCCGAATTTCGCTCTCATTGTGTGCCGATTTTTCAGCGTAATTTTTCCGATTTTTTTGATTTTTCGGCATATTTTTTTCGAGAAAGAAGTATTATAATAATTAGTAACTAATAAAACGGATATGTGTATCTAATCCTCATAAATATGGACATCTAGGAAAAGTGGGCGGAGCCTAAAGGTCAAATGAGATAGTATAAAGAAAACGAGAGACGCAGACATCATACCATTGCTCATCCTTGCTCTTTTTGTATTGCGCAATACTTTCTGCGTTTCTTTTTACCCTATACTCTCTCGCTTGACCTTTAGCCTCCGCCCACTCCCCCCCCCCCCGGATGGGGGATTATAAGTGGTGGTGGTGATATGTTGTCCAGATCAAATTAAAATTTTTTTTTCAAAATTTTAGAAAAATCTAGTCTAAATTTCTGTTAGATTCGAATTCCAGATAATTAGAGCTTCAAAATGAGTATAAACAAGCCATAGTTCCTAAAATTTCGAAATTTCAGATTTAAAGGCGCATACAGTAGCCAGAAATATTTTTTCAGCAGTTTTCGTTATTAAATTGAGATTTCCCACATAATTTGGGTCAAGATGCAAAAAACTAAAAATTTCTAGCGTTATTTTGAATTTTTGGGATTTCTCGGGTTACTGTAGCCTCAAAAGTCCGCAAACACCGAATAGCGAATTTTGAGCTGAAAATTGGGAATTAGACTAATTCATGGGTCAGAAACACGAGTTTAATAGTGAAAATGAGCAAAAACGAGTTTTAACCAATTTTCGGAGGGTTTCGGGTTACTGTAGTTTCGAAAATTCGTAAAAGGTTGCACTTCAAACTCAGATTCTTCGAAAATAAACATTCGTTTTGGATTTACACAAAATTTGGGTTTAGATGCAGGAAACTAGAAGTTTCTAGCTCAATTTTAAATTTTTCGGGTTACTGTAGCTCCAAAAGTCCGCAAACACCGAATGAAGCCAAAACCTTTAGTTTTTGAGGTTCTAGACTAAAAAATTGATTTCCAGCTACTTTTTCATGTCAGGAACGCGTTGAAATGTGTCTGAACCCCGAAACCCCCCAAAATTTCTAGGTTACTGTAGCTCCAAAAGTACGCAAACACCGAATAACGAGTTAAGTGCTGAAAATTGGGAATTAGACTAATTCAAGGGTCGGAAACACGAATTTAATAGTTAAAATGTACAAAAATGAGTCTGAAACAATTTATTCGCATTTTAACAAGTTATCCATAACAAAAAAAAATATCACAAAAAATTCAAAAAATTTTCAAATTTCCCGCCGTCGAATCGCTTTCTGGTATCCTTCGTTCACTTTCCGCACACAATACTCAATATTCGAAATTCGCTCCTCCTTTTTTGGTGATTTTTTTGGCGAGTTTTTCAAATTTGGCGCCAAATTTGAATTTTTCGCGAAAATCGATTTCCAGCTATTTCCAGACTCGATTTTCAGCAGACCGTAGCCCAGATTAAACTGATAACCAAATAAACAAAAAAGTCCCAGAAAAATGCATAAAAACGAGAATGGGACCATCAGAAACGACGTGGCGATGGGGAGTTCGGCAATGAAGCGACCCATAAATTTTCCAGATGACTCTCCGAACTGAAAAATTTGATTTTGAAAATTTGAAACTTCGAAATTTGAATTTCGCGCAAAAAATGGGTTTAGATGGCAAAAACTAGAACTTTCTAGCTCACTTTTGGATTTTTCGGGGTTACTGTAGCTCTAAAAGTCCGCAAACACCGAATGAGCTTGAAACCTCTCGTTTTGTTTCTAGAATTTGAATTTTTAGTTTCTAAACTAAAAAATTCGCTTTTAAGCTTATTTCTAATGTCAAAAACGCGTCGAAAAGTGTCTAAAACCCCAAAAATCCCATTTTCCGGATTACTGTAGCTCCAAAAGTCCGCAAACACCGAATATCGAATTTCGAGCTGAAAATTGGGTTTCCGACTAATTCTGGGGTGGGAAACACAAATTTAATAATGAAAAAAAAATCAAAAATGAGTTTTAAACCTTTTTTTTTAAGTTTCTGGATTACTGAAGTTCCGAAAATCCGTAAACACTATGCTTGAAGCGCCTATTTTTGAGATAATGGCATCAAATTCGAATTTCTTGCAAAATGTGGCTCAAGATGCAAAAAACTCGAAGTTTCTAGCGTCATTTTGAAGTTTTTCGGCTTTTTTTCGGGTTACTGTAGCTCCAAAAGTCCGCAAACACCGAATTTCGACTTTTGGGCTGAGAATTGAGATCTAGACTAATTTAAGGGTGAGAAACACGAATTCAATAGCGAAAATGAGCAAAAATAAGTTTTAAACCCGATTTTAGAGGTTTTTGGTTACTGTAGCTCTAGAATTACGCAACTACTGCGTTTAAAACAAAAGTTTTTAAGACAATGACATCAAAATTGAGTTTCCCACAAATTTAAGGTCTAGATGAAAAAAACCAGAAGTTTCTAGCGTTATTTTGAAGTTTTCCGGGTTTTTTTCGGGTTACTGTAGCCCCAAAAGTCCGCAAACACCGAATATCGAATTTCGGGCTGAAAATTCGAATTTATACTAATTTTGGAGTGGGAAACACGAGTTCGATAGTGACAATGTGTGAAAATTGCTTTTAAGGCTAGAAATTCATTTTTTAGGCATTGAAACTTAAATTTTTCTGACTACAGTAATCCAACGACTCACCACTGACGCCAAAAGTACCACAATCCGTCCGACTAGACTGAAAGGTACAGTAATCGGATTCACGTGCCATTTCCAATGCGAACTCTCCGATTTTCCAAATGCCCATCGTAGAAATTGGTTCGATAGGGTGTCTGGAAATTTTCCAAAATTTTGGAAACCTAAAAATTTGAATTTCCCGCCAAATTTGGGTTCAGAAGAAAAAAACTAGAACTTTCTAGATCAATTTTGAAATTTTTGCAGTTTTGGATTACTGTAGCCCCAAAAGTACGCAAACACCGAATAAGCCCAAATTCTCTAGTTTTTGAGTTTTTAGGCTAAAAGTTTGGTGTTAAGCTTATTTTTGTTGTCAAAAACTCGTCAAAATGTGTCTGAACCCCCGAAATCCCACTTTTCTGGGTTACGGTAGCCCCCAAAAGTACGCAAACACCGAATAACGAGTTTCGGACGAGCAATTTGGATTTAGGATAATTCTGGGGTGAGAAATTCAAATTTCAAGATCCCGAACTCTGGAAACCAGCGGTTTGGCTGAAAATTCGAGTTTTAAAACAAATTCTCACCATCTCTCCATTTGTGTTCCTCCAACATTAGAATCGCCTCGAATAGGATTATTCTGAAATTTCAAATTTTTGAAAATTCGAATTTTTGAATTTCGCGCCTAAAAACCTACACCGAGCCCAAAAATGCTCCAAAAATCGCCAAATTTTCAGATTTGAGCCATTCGAACAGGAATTCGCGGCTTAAAATGAACAATCCGAGGAGTAGAAGAATCCATGTGGCAAGGAAAACTATGTCAAGGATTATCATATGGTTTTGGAAGCTGAAAATTGGGATTTTGAGCTGAAAACTTGTATTTAAAGGTTCAAAAATGGACTTTCTGATGGAAAATTGCTTTTTTCAAGCTTTTTAGCATCAAAAACGGCTGAAATTGACTAAAAATAATGGATTTGAAATTTGAAATTCAAATTTTCCCGCCGCTTGTTTGCCGGTACGACACTCCGCCATCCCGCAGGCAATTACCCGGGACAAACGAGAGAGTATGGATTTTGAAGAGACGCAGGGAAAGAGAAAGAGGTCAATAGGAAAAGAAGGGAAGACGTCTTCCACCCTCATTTGTGTGTAATTCGGACAAAAACACTTTCAGATAACTTTGCTGATGAACTCCTTCTGGATGGAGGTCTTCAATTTTTTGCTGATTTTTCTGAAAATTGTGAGTTTTTTTGGACTTTTCTTCAGAATTTTTAAGTTTTAGCGTTTGAAAACATCAAAAATGACCTTAAAAACCCCTAAAAACTCATAGAAATCGATTTTAGAGCATTTTTGGAAAAAAGTTGTCAGATGGCCAAGTGGGATTTTTCATGAATTCTGAAAAAAAGGTCGCGGGTTCAAACCCCACCGGTAGCATTTCTTTTTGCTTTTTGTGTGGACATCGAAAATAATAGTAGGATGTCTGTAAATTAAGATTTTTCTGGAAATTCCAGAATCTCTTGGATCAAGTTTACGGCCAAGCCGGAGCCCCACCAATGGCAATTTTTTCAGTTTTCGGGCAGGAAGCACCCTTCAAATGGTTTTTAAGTTTCTAAATGTTCTGAAAACCATCTAAAACTATTTAACAACCCCTAGAAACTCCTAAAATACATTTTTCGAGCATTTTTTTAAAAAGTGCCCAGATGGCCGAGTGGGATTTTTCATTGAAATCTACCAGTCTGAAGGTCGCAGGTTCGAATCCCACCAGTGGTAATTCCTTTGGTTTTTTTTGTGTAGAACTAGGAAAGGATAATAGAAATTCTAGAGTTTTCGATTTTTCTGAAAAATCTGAACATTTGTCTGAAAAATCCCAAAAAACCACAATTTTTGAAAATTTCCAGAGAAATCTTAAATTTCTAGACTTTCTATTATCATTTTTAAGGTTCGCACACAAAAACCAAAAAAGTACCGCCGATGTCCCAAAAAACTCACAATTTTCAGAAAAATCAATAAAATTAGGAGACCTCCATCCAGTAGGTTGTCATCAGGAAAGGCTATCTGAAAGTATTTCTTGTCTGGAATTACAATTTTTTGCTCTGAAAACTCACAAATTCGCAGAAAATCAATAGTTAGAGGCCATTAAAAGACACATAGCCGAGGGAAACACATATAAAATGAATGCTGTTTTTTTGCCTTTTTATATGTGTTTTCTTTTTTCTCTGCGTCTCTCCAGCAATTTCTACTCTCTCGTTTTGGTGATTCATCCCTTCAAGGTCAGTGGTTATCTTGTGATCACTGGTGAGGAGATAGTGGAGGATTAGAGAAATGACCGAGAATATGTTATATGGAACATTTTTAAAGTTTAAAATTTGAAAATTCAAATTTCC